AGGTGGAGGCAGGAGAATTGCTTGAGCCCAGGAGTTGGAGGTTGCTGTGGGCTGTGTGACGCCACGGCACTCTACCGAGGGCAATAGCTTGAGGCTCTGTCTCAAAAAAAAAAAAATTAAATTAAAAAGTGTTTTTCACATATTTAAGAAAATAAATTTGTGGATTAAGGTGTCTTTAGTATTGGTCCTCACTTGGGCGGGGTATGGGCTGCAGCTGTCCCTCAGGCAGTGGCCGGAAGAGCCACCCCGTGGATTCCTTAGGCACCAGCGCCCACGGTTTGCTATCAGTGGCCAGAGCACACGCAGCTGTTGCTAAAAATCCCAGTCTGGGTGAAGGATTCAGTGTCCCTTCTTTGCCTCAGAGTGGAGAGAAGGAGCCCCTGGACCTTGGTGCCCCCATATCAAGTCTGGATGGACAGCGAGTCATCTTGGAGGAGAAGGACCCTTCTAGGGGGAAAGGTGAGTGTGACCAGCATGGCCACCCAGCGCCGCTGAGCGGCTGTTTGCCCTAACTACTGTCTCTGACCGCTGCGGACAAGGACCCTGTGTCATAAATGTAAGACTCTGATGCTTTCTAAAGAATGTTTGATGCTCAGTGCATTTCTGAAGCTGGAGTCAGAGGGCTGAGACTAGGAGCAGCCTGACCACTCTGAGTGCGTTTTCTGTGCTGTGAAAGGGGGGACAGTCCTGCCCACATGCGCCCCCCCCCCATATTCACGTGGAGTGTGTTAACCAGCAAGTGCTGGAAGGTACCATTTTCCCTGGAGGCCTGAGTCCCCACACCAAGCAGGGTCCTGGGAGTCCTGACAGCCGTGTACCCTGGGCTGGTCTAGTAAGTGCTAGAAGGTGCTATTTCCCCTGGAGGCCTCAGAGTCCCCACACCAAGCCGGGGTCCTGGGAGTCCTGACCGCTGTGCACCCTGGGCTGGTGCCTTTCTCTCTGGGCACAATGCAGATAGCAAGGACCACAGGCTACAGCCCCAGACTGGCCCTGTGTGGCCAGTCAGGTGGTTTCCAAGCTGTCTCCCACATGTCGCCCCATCATAACACTCCTGCCCTGGAGATGCTGGTCCCACACAGCGTGGAGCTGTGTGGGGCTGGTGGCTCGTGGTCAGGGCCAAGTTTTGCTCCTCAGAGCAGTCCCAGGGAGGGCAGTGGGCAGTATCTGTCCTGCAGGCGTTTTGTTAGAAGCCATTCATAGGCTCTGGCATACAAATGTCACTTTGTACGGAGCCACTTGGGTGCCTTTGGCTGCCCCTTCCCTGTCAGGACCCCAGCCCAGTGAGGTCCTGGCCCAGGGGTTTCTGAAGCTCCATCTACAGAGTCTTAGAGGGCATGGTGCAGGTCACCTGTCTATGGCAAGGGTGACCTGGCACCTGAGTGTGGATTCCAGGCAGAATCCTTGTTCTTGCTCCCACTTTGTCACAGGGAGACCCCTCCTCCCTCCCCACCCTTGCTCTGCTCTTCTCTAGAGAATGCTGAGCCTGTCACCCCAGGCCTGGCACCCGGGCAAGCGGGTGAGTCCAACATGCCGCCCGGGCAGGCTTTGCACCAGCTTTGCACTGGGGGACCCATGGTGTGTTTATGCACAGGTGAGTCCCCAGGTAAAGCTGGCTGGGTGCACAGCATGTTTACAGAGCCATGGGGGGGCAGGACTGAGGACTCTCTGGCCACACCTGGGCCAGAGGAGTTCACTTTGGACCCAAGGTCTGGCAGAGGCCAGCCTGTGGCCCTGACACAGGACACTGGCCAATTTGAAAACATGTCACAAATATAAGACTCTTAAATGCTTTCTAAAGAATGTTCATGCCAAATAGTGTATGGAATGAGCTTTCCAACATTGCTCCTCTAAAAGCCTCCAGTTAGGTTTCCATAGAAACCACTCTGCCCCCCACACCACACACAAGGGCCTCCCCCAGTGCCACAGGTGAGGCTTTCAGCCCTGTGGGCCATGCCTGTGGGGCGGACGGCCCGCACCCGGCTGCTCTGCAGCTCTGCAGCTCTGCAGCTCTGCAGCTCTGCCCTCCAAGGCGGTAGAAATGGGTTCTGCTGAGCCTTGCAGGTGGCCGGCAGCACTGCTCCTATAAAGCTCACCCATTGTGCTCGGTGTCCACAGATAAGCAGAAAGGTGCGCCCAGCAAACAGCACAGCACAGCTGTGAATTCCAGTTCCAGAAATCACACGGCAACGGTAATTCTCCTCCCCTCCCGCCCTGGCTGGTTGTGACCCCTCCCCTTCTCCCGCCTGCCCTGCCACAGGCCCCACTGGTCCCTGTCTGTTCCCAGGGCTCCTCCCGTGTCCTCACCAGGCCAGCTCCCTTCTTCCAGGGATCACACAGCTTCCTGCTTCCCTTTCTCCTGCGGTGGGGGGCTGAGCCTCCCATGCCCTCCTTTTATGTGACCTTTGTCATGGCAACTGGTTTGCCTGCGATGCATGTGACTTCCCTCTCGCTGCCATCTGTACTTGCAGAGCTTTTAATCTGTGACTGATGAATTGTGCGTGGTCGCATGCTGACACGTAAGTGGAACCTTGACTTTCCTTCTAATGCAGGGCGAGGAGAGGACACTAGGCAAGTCTAATTCTATTAAAATAAAAGGAGAAAATGGAAAAAATGCTAGGGATCCCCGGCTTTCAAAGAGAGAAGAATCTATTGCAAAGATTGGGAAAAAAAAATATCAGAAAATTAATTTGGACGAAGCAGAGGGTATGTGCACTTTTTAAAACTTCCACATTTCTCAGTGAATGCACTTGTAGTTTCCAGTATAGTGGTTAAAACCTACCCTGACATGTCTACATGTGGGCGGCTGCTGTCCCTGTCACACCGGTCAGTCTATGGCCTTGTCAACTTCAGGTTGACAGCCAGGCCTTCTGAGCATCAGGGAGGTGCTGCAAGTCCCACAGGTGCCACCTGGCCCCTCACAGCTGAGCGCTGGTGGAGCTGGGCCCAGCGTGAATGAGGCCCAGTCAGGGTCCTGCTCCTCAGTGGGCAGAGCTTGTGCCCAGCAGGAGTCAGGTCTGCTGACCTCACTAGAGGTACTGAGGGAAGTAGCCTGTGTGTCCCTGTGTGGGACAGCAGGTGGTTGAGCCCAGAAACTCAGAGGAGATATGAGTCCTTTCCTGAAAGTGCTTCCCCCCCACCTCCCAAGAGCTGTCACCAGGAGCAGCGTTGAGAGAAGTCACTGCAGCTGCCAGGCTGGAGCCTCCACCCAGGCACACCAGCCGGTCAGCCGGCTTGTCACAGTTGCTGTAGGGTCCAGAGAACACGACTCCTGCAGCCTTTGCTGGCCACAGGCAGGAGTAAAACACACACTCTTTTTGAAGCTTGTGCATTTCTGAGAACTATCAAAATTTGAGATTTTTATTCTATGTAGTGATTTTAAAACTTGAAGAATACAATTTAAATGCTAAAGAAAGCTCAGTTTAGACACCACTGACCTTAAACAGTGAACTTAAGATACAATAAAACATCCAGCCAGGTGAGGAAGAGAAGAGCTGTACAGGGCCAGCAGAGAGGTTTTCACAGGATCCTCGGACACTGGGCAGCAGGAGCCCAGGTCCTGTCCTAACCCTCAGGGGATACAGCCTTTGGGGAGGAAGGCCAAGCATGCCTCCTCTACCCAGGTCCCAGAGAACCACCCTCTGCCTGGAGGCAGTGCTCCTGCCGACTTGCACCCCACCCCTTGGGGAGTCCCCTGCACCTGACTCCTGGCTATGCTGGGCCTCAGTCTCATGGTCACTTTTACCCCAACCTAAGAAGGGGGCAGTACACAGGTGTAAAGGGGCCAAGTGTTACATAAGAAGCCCAGTGGTACCTGCTAACACACCATCAGTGTGCCAGCCCAAGTGCAGGGTGCTGTGTGTCCGAGCCAGAGCATCATGCAGCTTCAACTGCTGGAAACGGACTTTTAGAAGCCCTGGGAGCTTTTGCTCTAGTCCTGGCATGAAAGCAGTGTAGTTTGGGCTGTGGGACAGACCACTGTGGGAACTTACCAGAGAATGAATTTTCAGCTGTGACACACATTAGTGTGAAACTCTCTAAAGCACGATCAATGTGGGTTTTCTTCCAATAGAGTTTTTTGAGCTCATTTCCAAAGCTCAGAGCAACAGAGCAGATGACCAACGTGGGCTGCTGAGGAAGGAGGACCTAGTGTTGCCAGAGTTTCTTCGCTTGCCTCCTGGTTCCACGGAAATCCCGCTCTCCACCCCAGCCATGGCCCAGGGCATTAGCAGGAGAATTGCCTGGAGCAGCGGCAGGGAGACCTTGTCCCAGCCCAGCGAGGGACGAGTATCCTCCCAAGACAGCAGCGACAGCCCCTCAACTAGCCCAGGCTCAGCCCACAGCCCCCCTGAGCCCCCTGGGACGACCCCACCGGGGCTGAAGCCTCCTAGTGGGCCCCCCTGCACCAGCCAGCCCCCTCCCCCACTCACACAGGAGGGTGCCACACAGATCTGGAAGGGGCAGCCATGGGAAGTGGAGGCCGGGGACATCCAGACGGTGGAGGATGGGCAGGGAGCTGACCTGACCCTGATGGGGGAGGCCCACATCAGCAGTCCCAACACCGCGCTCCTGCCACCGCCCCCTGCCCCCCAGGACTCGCCGGGACCTTCACCACCAGGTACCTCTGGGTTCTGACCCTCCACCCAGCCCTTCCCCTGCCACTGCCACAGTTTGGTCCACTCAGTTTTCAGCAGGACAGGCTGGCTGTGCTCTGTGGCCTTCTAGCCACCACTTCTGTTTATCAAGGCACTTCCGCAGCGTCCACCCTCCTCGTGGATCGTATTTATTGAGAGTCTCCTCAGCCTGCTCAGGGCCAGCAGGGTCCGAGGACGTCAGGGCGAGTCACAAGGCTCAGACAGAGGCTCAGGCAGCTGTAGCCACATCCCTGACGCCCTTGTGGGGGTGACGCGTGGGCAGTGCCTGCATCAGGTTTAGTGACACCCCTGGGCAAGGCCCACAAATTTCTGAAGCTGTAGGTGTTACTTTGAAAGCCTGGGTAGCCAGCATTTTTAGTGCTTAAGTCTAAGACTGAAAAACAGTGGTATTTCTCCTGAGCAGGTGGCTTTGGAGCAGGGCCTGTGTGCAGGGGCACCATGCTTTGTAGACCCCAGCCAGGCATGTGCCATGGGTTAGGGAGTCCCAGCTACATCAGTGGTGTGCCCTGACTTCCACGTGTCACAGGCATGTCTCCCAAGGGAAGCATGAAATTGAGCACGTGTGAAGGTGAAGTGCGCTCTGGAAGCAGAATTCCCATGAACTACAGGTACTAGGGATCAAGATAAGAGTCCCAACATACTAATGGCAGCCAGCAGGACAAGGTGCTTCCAGGACCCCAAGTGCTGTGGCCTATGTGGCTGTCTCTGGAGAGACAGCCAGCTATTCAGGGCATCTGTCATAGACGCTCGCAGCTGTGGACATGATGTTATGATCTGCCGTTGGGGGTGCAAAATCATCCTGCTCTTCCTGTGCAGTCTGTCCTGCCACAGGGTCAGCTCTTGCCGGACCTGTCACCCAGACCTTGACAGGGGACAGAGAAGGCATGTTTCAACGTACGGCCTGTATATCTGTACATAGCTGCTGGGTGGGGGCCCTTGGTCCTTTCCTGGTGAGCAGCACTGGGACGCGAGGCCCAGGTGTGGAGGCTTGTTTGTGGATGCCGCCCTGTGCCTCTGCCCCCCGGCTGTCCCTCGCCTGTCCCCCGCCTGCTAACCTCTGTAGATGCCTGCGTGTCACTCCCACTTGTGTTTTCTGTCTGTTTTTCTGAGAGTAATAAACTCTAGACCTCATCACTGGACTGTTTTAAAACTCTTCTTTTTCATTTCAATATTTCTTTACACTTTAGAAAACTATACAAGTACTTTAGCCTAGGGGAAATACATGTTTTAGGAAAAATGAATTTACTTAGCCATATTAATTTTTAAAACTATACCACTCACTCAGCAAAACTGAGCACTTCGTATGCCCACCACATGCAGTTAAACAGCGGGGCGGCCGCTGACAATCATGGCAAGGACAGCAAGTGAGGAGAGGGCGGGCACACCCCCTGCCTGGCCTCAATGCCATCCAGGCTCCAGCCTATGCCTGCCTCTGGCTCTCCTGCTTCCGGTGCTTCCGTGATCCTTGTGCTTGTAGACTGGGGCTGCAACTGGCTGGACTTGCTATGTGCCATGACCCACCTGCTCCCACCCCAGCCTCACCGGCTCCAGGATGCTGGGGCTGGCTCTGTGTAGGACTGTCCTGGAAGACCCCTTCCATATGTGCCTGCGTGGTGCCCAGTTCTCCCATCCAATAAGGGCTGTTAACAGCGACATGGCCATGCTAAGGGGCCGCTGCCAACTCCCTGACATGCTTATGCAGCAGGAGGGCAGGGTGTTGCCAGGTGTGCAGGGAACAGGTCTTCCTGGCACTGTGCAGGACCAGTTCCACAGGCCTGCTAGCCCCCAGCCCTTGGCTCTTGGGCCCTGCCCTGGAGGAGACCACAGCAGGAGAAGGGCCTGGCTAAGGTCACAGGTCTGTGGCTTCCTGGGGGTTGCAGCAGGTGGTAGACCTGGTGTGCTGGGAGACCTAGGGACTGAGACTCCCTTGTGCACCTCACTTTATTAAACCCCATCTACCCTAAATCAGGTAGCTCCTG